TCACAAAAACTCAATGCTCCACGTGAAACGTGATTCACATCGCGCGCTAAACGTTATCATGACAATCTCTGCGATATAAAAATCTGACAACCTCAATTTTGACGCTTTGGCTCAGCTGTAGCAAATTGCTAATAGTTTGAACAACACATGGTGGGAAATGAACATTACTCGCTTGCGAAGCTTACTGAAACCGTTGTAGTGCGCAATTTGACTCACGTAGAGCTTTGAGTTTCTAGTGAGCGGGCAGTTCAAATTCCCCGTAACCAATGTGAAATAAAAACGTTAATATTTTCGTTAGGAGTTGGTTTCAGTAATTTTCGTAGCGCAAATCGTGTTCTACGTAAAATTCTGGTTAGGGAACATGTATCAGATTGCTTAAATTCGTACCTTGTCTAGTGGTCCAGTATCGATTGTTGTTATCCATATTGTTATCCATTCTCTATTTGAAGCTGTGGGAAGGAATCGATTGTAAAGGTGTTCGCTGCAAACACCTTGATAATCGATCCTTTTCCATAGATTCAAATGGCAGATCAATTGATATATCTTAAAGCCACGCCACTGACCTCGGCTCACTTCCGCCAAAAGCTGCGCCGCCATTCAGTATCCAGAATCATGAAAAATCCGCCTGAATCTAATTGACTCCGCCAACGTAGCCGGAGGCCTAACGGGACCCCAATGCCTACTTTAGTGACTCCCCGGGCCCCCGGGCCCCCAGCCTCGGCGCCCCCTGAACCCCGTTGGGAAAGGGGGGCCCTCAATACAGCAAACTTATACGCAGCGATGGAACGGATAATGAGCCCTCCTCCCCCCCCCCTGGACCGGAGGGGGGAGGGGGCACAATGCGAAACAGCGAGTGGTTTTAATGCAAATCAAAAAAATCCCGAACACGAAATGTTATCAGTTTGATGAGATCTGGCGTGGCTCTGAATCGGAGTGACGAGGCAGTGGCGACGTTGCCACGTGGGCTGGAAAACTCGCGAAATTTGAAAAATAGGGACGGGAATGAGCCCAGAGAATATATTATACAGATTTTAGCGATTTTACACCCAGAGAGAGGGAGAGCGAATTTCATTCGATTTCTGCTTGATAAGCTGCTCATCGACCATAAAATTATAGGTTAATTATAGGATTGATCTCCAAATTTAACTTGCACTGCACTGTAAAAAAAAACACATTGGATCTAGAGTCTAGACTCTTGAAAACATTGACAAGAAAAAATACTCTTGATTCAATCGGATTTTTGCTAGAATCAAAACGAAATCCGCTTAAATTAAGAGGCTTGGTTCTTGATTTAAGCTAGATTGTGTGTATTGAATCAAGAGTACTTTTTCTTGTCGATGTTTTTAAGAGTCTGGACTCCAGATCCAATGTGTTTTTTTTCCAGTGTGTGAGAAAAAGAGACAAAAAACTTGTGTTAATATAGGAAGCCCCTGTAAATATTGGCTATAGGAGCTGCGTTTCAAAAGAGCGACAGAAAATCAGAAAGCTGGCTTTTGAAAGTGCAGGAAATCTTACTACCGGGCTGTACAGAGTGATAAAAAATCATATAGCCGGGCTATAGTTCCTATCGCTGGACTATATAGTTTATCGCCTAGCTATAGCTCTATCGCCATCGGCTATAAAAGGCTATAAGAAATTGTTCAGCCGGCTACGAAAGCTATAAGAAATTATATAGGTGGCTACAGGTCTATGGTATGTTTGGATCAAAGATCGCACAGCCAATTTTCACGCGGGGTAAAACACAACGTAATACAGTTTTTCCTTTGGCAAATCGACCAAATCTTGGGTTTGAAGGACCATATTTCAGTATTGATAATCTGCGACCTCGTTAAAAATCACGCGGTAGTCGCCCGAATCGAACTCTGATTACATCAGTGATAATCCAATGCGCTAGCCACTTGCAAGTCGCGATCCCGAATATAGAGTGAAAACAAGAGTACAAAAGTTCTGCAGGAAGATCCCTTCATGCTCCGATGTTCCAGAGTAACCCACGATGTGGGTCAACCCAGAAAATTGTGTTGAGCAATCACGTATTTTGGGTTGATCTGACACAAAAAACGATCTATGAGCTCAAATTGTCCAGGCCGATTTATTATTACAATCTTAACGAACCTGCCTTTGTAAAGCACGTATTTTACCCAGTTCTTGTATGCATTTACTTATCTGTGCTCATTTAGAAACATCCTGGTCCACTTCACTTTAATTTTGGAATCTGGAGATTCGCAGCAGCATTTTCCTTGTGTTTTCTATGTTAGACGATTTGCAGCCATTTTGGGCCCTCAAAGCTTCCTATCTCGACCTATTCGCACTCTAGTGTGGGGTTTCTAAAATATATACTGGAAAAAAAACTCCGACCGTGGAAGCCGTACTTACAGGCTGTATAGACATACGGTCCGCGTTTCGGGCTCAGAGGCCAAAAGTTCCGGGCCTAGCACCCGGAGCAATCGAAACTACGGCTCCAGCACCCGGAATTTTCGGCCTCTGAGCCCGTAACGGACAGTACGTCTATATAGCCCGTAACTTTCTTTCAGTGTATTGTCTCCGCACTGACTCTTTTGATAATAAAGTATAGAATAGTAGTGATGCACTGGTAAAAAAAAACACATTGGATCTAGATTCCAGACTCTTGAAAACATTGACTAGAAAAAGGACTCTCGATTCAATCAGATTTAAGCTTAAATCATAAAGAAATCCGCTCAAATTAAGAGGCTTGGTTCTTGATTTAAACTTACATCTGATTGAATCAAGAGTATTTTTCCTTGTCGATGTTTTTAAGAGTCTGGACTCTAGATCCAATGTCTTTTTTTTCCAGCGTGCGTTTTTGTGATGATTCTGGTTTTTGCAGCTATTACGGCCGAATAATCTGACAATATGGTCGCGCGGAAACTACCGGAGCAGAACTTTGAAGAATTCCGGAACTTGGCGGGGGGTGGGAAGTTGGGAGCGCGGACTCCGGAGGCCCGGTCGGGGGGGGGGGGGGGGGGGGGGGGGGCGAGGGATAATCTTAATTATGATCCATTCCTCCACCAGTTATCATGTTAATTAATTTCAATTTCTTAGGAACGCTGCGCGGTGCGGTCGCGCGATGTGTGCGATGCGATGCGATGCGCGCGGGGAGTTTGAACTCGATTCATATGAAATATTTTTCCACTCGTTTTCTTCCTCCTCCGGGGTAATTGCCTGAATATCACCGGCGTCATTAAAGTGTGCGCTCGCCGGCTCCGGCTCCATCCGCCGCGCCGCCCGCCGCGACGCTCAGTGCTCGAAAATCGGCCCCGTCCGGAAAATCCGCGACTCGAAAATCGGCCCTGTCCGGAAAATCCGCGGCTCGAAAATCGGCCCTGTCCGGAAAATCCGCGGCTTGAAAATCGGCCCTGTCCGGAACATCCGCGGCTCGAAAATCTGCCCTGTCCGGAAAATCTGCGACTCGAAAATCTGCCCTGTCCGGAAAATCTGCGACTCGAAATTCCGGACACGTTGACCCCGGAAAATTCTCCGATGAAAAATGTTGATCGCGTTGGCCTGATCCGGAAGATCCACGACTGGAAATTCCGGACACATTGATCTGATCCCGAAAATCCGAGACTGAAATTCCGGACACGTTGATCTGATCCGGAAAATCTGCGACTAAAAATTCCGGACACATTGACCTGATTCAGAAAATCTACGACCGAAAATTCCGGACACATTCATCTGATCCGGAAAATCTGCGACTATAAATTTCGGACACATTGACCTGATTCGGAAAATCCGCGACTAAAAATTTCGGACACATTGATCTGATTCGGGAAATCCGCGACTAGAAATTCCGGACACATTGATCTGATCCAGAAATTCAACGGCTGAAATTCTGGAAACATTCATCTGATCCGGGAAATCAATAACTGAAAATTCCGGTCACTTAGACCTCAGTGATTTTCGGTGCAAGAATCGTGTTTTACGTGAAATTGTGGTTACGGAACTTGTATCGAAATGCTTAAATTTGTACCTTGTCTAGTACTCCATTCTGCCATCAATGAAAAATACTGCTGTGCCAGAGATGAACGCCGGATGAGCTCGCAGACGTTGCCAAATTGGCTTCGAAATAAACAATTTTACTGGGAAAGTTGAGAATGATAATCTCCAAATTCAGACAATTTTTCTGCAATTTCATATAGAATATTTGAAAATTTCTGGGAAAAATATTCACAACTTTCCAATAAAATACATATATGTTTAATTCATGGACATTTGGCAACATTTGAACGTTTATGCGGCGTTCTTCCTTAGTACGACAGTATAGTTGGAGTCATGTAATCGCAACAAAGAAAAGTGCTGAGAAAGTATCCTGTCCGTCAAAAGTGTACCTAGTGATCCCTAGAATTTTGCTAATGTGTCCTCTCAGTTATCTTAAAATCCTACTGAAATTGGACTGCATTTTGCAATTGGGCACCTCTATTTCTAGCTCACTCAAAAAAGGACGTATCTATCTCGGAGAGATAAAGGCATATGCGTTGTTTGTAAAATGAGTCAGAGACTGTAATTTCTAATTGCTAGATGTAGTCTAGTTACTGATACTAGAGTGAACGAGAGTTTTCCACAAGCATTTGGGAAAGAAAATGCCCATTAATGTCAAACCAAATCCCACTGATGGTGATCTGTAATATGTACTCCGTTTCGAAGAAGTTTTTTCATGGATTCAAGGTGTTTTACGCAAAATATTGATGAGAAAGTATACGTTGAAATTACCCATTCTTTGTAATACCTAGTGGTCCATTGAACTATATTTTGTATGAAGGAACTGTGCCATATTTTTCGCTCATCCATGAAAGCCCCTTTCTGCAAGGAGACACTAATGACATACATGATGGCTCTAAGTTGAACCAGAAATACTAGTCCCTCATTGCTAGATGTAGTCTTCCTTGGACTAAAATTCGCACTTGAGAACTTCTGGGTCAATTAGAAACAACGTATATTTCATCAATTTCGCTATTCACATTTTACATGTATTTACGGATGAGTTAGAAATTTGTTCTCAATTGCAAAGTGCAGTGGATTTTTAATTCTTGTTTAGGATATCCTTCAAGGAAGAAAAAAAACATACAAACAAAAACAAAAATGCAAAAAAAGTCCAACGTTTCTTGTCCTGAAATTCAGTCATGGAGTGGAAGCTCAGTGGTGTTTTTACTATTTTCAAAGGGCTTATGCTGATACGCTGTTACATCACACCGACAAAATGGGCATTGCATAGTCTTCCTCGCTACTGCTGCATCCGCCTCCATTTGCTGGGTGCATGTCAGGCATGTTATGACGTGCTTCACGGGACATGCTATTTCAGTATTTTTCACCCTTTCATAGCATATGCAGCAAGCTGTGGAAAACAGAAAGTCCAATTTTTCATGAGTTAGTTGTTCGATTACAAGAACAACTAAAACAGTAGAAGCATGACGATCAAAAGGCACAAAGTTACTTTCTCCAAGTTTCAGATAACCGCAAAAAATCTATTTTGGGCATGAATTTTGTTAAGCTAAAACTTAAATTGCAGCTTGGGTCTAATCTGCCGTGCTAAGGAAAAACGCCGTATGAGCCTTCAGGCGTTGCCAAATTTCCTTTGATAAAACACTAATTTCTTGGTAAACTTACGAATATTTTCCTTCCAATTTTTTAGATGATTTTGTTCGCTATTTTATCTGAAGTTCCTGAAAAATGCAAAGATAAATATTCATAGCTTTTCCTAAAAAATGAACATTTTATCGAAGGAAATCTGGCATCTCTCGAATGTCCATACGTCGTTAGTCCTTAGCACTGCAGTAATGTGATTAGACCTAAAAATTTCAATTTTTTCCGTGCGCCAATTGTGTGTATTTCAAACTCTGCACGGGAAAAAAAAAGTCTCAGGGGTTATCCCCTACGATTGTCGGACTACCCTTTGTTATATGATATGGGCATTTTCAATTAATTTTGGGAGAGTTACACCTCAAGTTGGAGTAGTACTGCAACATTTGCGTAGCTTGCAGGCGTAGCTTCGATTGCTCCGGGTTCAGAGGCCGAAGCTACGGCTCCAGCAGCCGGAATTTTCGGCCTTTGAGCCCGGAACGGACGGTATGTCTATAAAGCCCGCAATTGCGGCTCCCACGGCCGGAGTTTTTTCTTCAGTGTAAGAAATCATGACCACTTGGGTTGCGCATAACACGTTCCTCTACATTTGTAGAAAAATTAAATATCTCTCTTGAGTTTCTTACGATAGACATATTGATAGGCTTGTGTACTTACCCCTCTCGTCTTCTGAAGAGCATGGTACATCACGTGGATCAGTCGGGACTCTCGGAGCTCGTGGCTCGGTCATCATACGCTCTGCACAGAAAGAACCATTCGCAGAGTTATACATTGGTATCAGCGGGCCGATTATTGAAATTGATTGACAAAGCTATAGACAAATAAGACGAAAGGGATTTGGAGGGATCCCAATGGTCGAAGCGGGTGGTTGCAATGGACAAAGGAGGTAGGTAATAGACTAAGTAACGGCAACCCACGAGGGACCGGATAGTTAGTCCATCATTTTCTCCCTTAGTCCATAGGAACCATCCATTTCAACCAATAGGATCGCTGCATACTCCGTATGTCTATTTTGTCTATAGCTTTGTCCATCGATTTTAATAATCAGGCTGCAGGTGACCTGCAGGTTGATCATTGACCCTTTACCGATCCTTTGTCAAATGACCTTCATCTACAAATTCTCCAAGTGTTATGAAAGTCTCTAAAGGAAGGATAGATGGAATTTCTATGATCAACTCGATGGTTGCAACTAATTTGACTCAAAGGATGATCGTATTGCATACCAATAATTATGAAGGTGCTTTGTAAATTGAGTATTGATCCTTTATCGCTCCCTCGTCGGATGATCTTGATTGATAAAGCGCTGTCCTCACTCGAGAAAAACGCATTGTACCTAGAGTCCAGATTCTTGAAAACATTGACCAGAAAAAATACTCTTGATTCAATCGGATTTTTGCTTGAATCAAAACGAAATCAGCTTAAATTAAGAGGCTTGGTTCTTGATTTAGGCTAGATTCTGATTGAATCAAGAGTACTTTTTCTTGTCGATGTTTTTAAGAGTCTGGAGTCTAGATCCGATGTGTTTTTTTTTTTCCAGTGCTGCAATATTACATGACGATGAAAGTCATTCATTAGCATGTCGATCGAGTTCCATTAATTATCCTTTCTGTGCCGTTGGATGGTTTTTGAAGCGGGGAGCTTAAAAAAACCCATTTTTCTATTGCAGATTGTGAAGTTAGGAGTGTATGTTAGATTTTCCCGATGCGCTCATCGTGACTTTTGAGCATTTTCTTACGGGAAACAATTCCTATTTTAGCTCTAGCTGCAGTCAGCAACAGCTACGTACTATCCTGTTACCTACATGTCCGGATTATATTTTTAGTGTTATTTTCCTCGTATTTAAATAAATACTTAAAGAAACTTGCCTTGTATCATTCTCCATACGATATGTATGACTTGGAGCGCTGACATTGATTGTTCTTGAACCTCTGGCGGCTGAGAGAGGAAATCGGATGATCTTACCCATCGTATCGTACGGATGTCTTCGCCTGCAAACAAATGATCTTGTAAATTTTACAGATAATTCAAAAGAGAAAAGCTAGCATGATCCGTCTAAATTGAAATGCTGAAGTTCTTACAATGCGTATTCATGGTCGAATAACACACGGAAAAAAAGAAGTAGGGGTTTAGCCCCAACCGTTGGATGATATGGACATTTCCTATTAAATGTGGTAGTACCCAAATAAATTAGGTTCCCAACCCAAATGTTGCAGTCCTACTCCAACTTGAGGTGTGGTACTTCCAAACTTAGTTGAAAATGCCCATATCATCCAATAAAGGATAGTCAGACAATCTTAGTAGATAACCCCGTAGACTTTTTTCCCCTGCGGAGTTTGAAATACACGCAATGGGAGCACGGAAAAAATTGGAATTTTCAAGCTCCAATTTAAGTTTTAGTCAACGAAAATTCATGCCCAAAAGAAGTCAAAGTTTTTTGCGGTTATCTGAAAGTTGGAGAAAGGAACGTTGTGTGAAACAAATCGTTTCCCGCGCATGGATTCACAGCGCCAGAATGGCTTCATTTCTTCCCCCTGATTTTAGATACGAGCACTCCATTCCATTTTTATGTCTTTGGTGTGAACCCAGGCTTACCTAAGCCGCGAGAGGGGTTAGAGGTTAACCTACAACTAGCTTACGGTGATGAAATAACTTACCAGTTTCCTCGTCGGGCTCGGTTTGAATGTGTGTGAGCCATGGCAGTCGGCCTCCTTCTCTCATGTCAGCCATTACAATCATGACTAAGAAGCCTAAAGCGGTGATGCTCGGTCTTCGCTCTATCGTTGTCAGAGAGCGGTCATCGGGGTTGTATGAAGTCCTCCACTCGGTGCCCTCGTATAGGGGTGGCATCCCCGGTGGAGGTCGTGGTGGTGACGATGCCTGTGATGGTGAGGGTGGTGGTGATGGTGTGGGCGGTAGCACTGATGGTGATGATGTTGGTGAGGCTGGTTGGGCTAGCTCTAATATCATGAACACGGGAAAAATTAAATTGCTGATTTAACAATTGAATTGCTAAAGAAAGTGACTGCAATGTTTCAACGTAGATTTTACAACACAAAAATGCTACATAAAACTAATTTAAACACGGGGGTGTATAAGTAGCATTTTTGTGTTGTGAAATCTACATTGAAGCATTACAGTCACTTTCTTTAGCAATTGAATTGTTACATCAGCAATTTAATTTTTTCCGTGAAATAACACGTTTGTTTTATTTTGATCCTTGAGAAATGAACCGCGTTTAGCAGAAAGGAACCAAGCCACATCAGCTATTGCCAAACGTGACTGGACAATTTAATTTTTTAGAAGAGAATGTTTGTGTTTACTGCTTTGAAAATATAAATATTTTTTCTCCGTACATGGCAGAAATTTCACCGAAATATGCGAAAAAAATCTGCTCAGCCGTTTTGATGTAAAAAATTAAATTGCCCAATTAAATTTGGCAATAACTCATAAGGCTTGGTTCCCTTCTGCTTGGTGCAGACCAAATTTAGGTAATTTTCAAGAGATACTTAAAAATGTTTTTAAACTATTTTAGAGATCAACTTGTGCATTTTCAGTTCTAGAAAACCTTCTTGAACGTTGAATTTTTTTACCCTATTCTTGGTATTGAGGAAAAAAATAAATCTATTTAAAAATGATCTAGAAACCTCATTTGTAACGACGATTTTAAAATATCATAGACAAAATTATTCTTTACATTTGTCGCAGGCAATTGGTCAAATCAGGCATTTTGTCAAATGCCTGGGCAGATACTCAAATTATGACACGGAAAGGGTAAGTATATGAACATGTCGGTAATGGAAAGATAAAGTTGGATCATGTTATGTTGCTGTCGGGACCTAACGGGCAGTCAACGCGTGAGCTCAAATTTTCTAGAATTTCATATTATTAAAATTGTTACAAATCGTCGTTTCGAACAATTTGAAAGTACGTATTAGACTCAGTCTTTCGAATTTTCTTCAAGAGGACGCTCTTTCATAGTACTGTTTGGCAATTTCAGTTTGACATTTGAATGTGAACATTGGCAACGAAACTTTTCTAGTGCTTTTATTTTGGAATGATTGGCTGTCCTGCGGGCCGATTATTGAAATTGATAGACAAAGATATAGACAAAGATATAGACAAAGATGAGAAATCGGATATGGAGGGAACCAACTGATGGAAGCTGGTGGTTGCAATGGACAAAGGAGGCAGGAAATAGACTATTTCACGGCAATCCGAGGAACTCGACAGTTAGTCCATCATTTTCCCCCATAGTCTATGAGAACCACACATTTCAACCAATAGGATCGTTCCGTATCCCTTATGTCTTCTTTGTCTATAGCTTTGTCTATCGATTTCAATCATCAGCCCGCTGTTGGACCCCACGAATTCCATGCTCCGACATGTTTACACTCTTTCTTGCGTCACGACGGATTAGGTAAGCACCTGTGGTCATGTTCCTTCGATTCCTTCTATTCGGACTCCTAGACGGCGATCTTCTTCCAGTTGAAAGTCGTGGAGATTGTGTCGTTGGTTGACGCACTGATGGTTGGGGCGGTGAAAGTGTTGCTCCAGCCCTGATTCTTGCCCTGTGTCCATCCGAGAAAGGGTCTGAAAAGGAACGCTGTCCCCATCTCCATTCTTCTCCAGTTATTGGAACTGGGGACAGACACATTCAATGATTAGTAATCAGAGACTGGGAGGGACACTCTACTAACCCTCTTGGTGGCGAGTAAAAACTTTTGTTTTCAGGGATTCAACCAGAGACAAGATACCTCCACTGGTATCTTGACAATGGTGGAAGCTTTTACTTTCGGGACTTCAACTGTTGACCTTCCTACTCGGTTCATGGTTTACATCGTGTTCAGACTTTCGTTTTGCAAGCAAACCATGACAGGATCTTGCATAACTCAATGTTCCCTGGGACACATGTGAAAATAGGGATGCGCTCTGTCGGAGGAGCGACGCAATGTTCGTCAAAGTTTTGACAGGCTATCGACCTGTTGAACTGTTATCGTATGACAAATCACGATTTCAGGCTCATTTATAAAAATACTTATCGCTCTACATATTTAAACTAATGGTGCGTATGTTATTACTAAAATAAATCGTTGTTCTTCATTGCTTAAAGCAGTCCAAATTTCATTGCTGCGATAGAGATTTGGATTAAATTTTGCAATAAGGAACCAGGATCTCTGGCTCTTCCATAAAAGCACCTTCCTGCATAGCAAACACCCGATGATTTATTTGTTATTTCTAAAATTAACCCGAAGTATTGGTTCCTTAATGGACCACTAGACAAGGTACGAATTTAAGCAATCTGATACATGTTTCTTAACCAGAATTTCACGTTAAACACGATTCTTACAACGAAAATTACTGAAATCAACTCCTAACAAAGATATTAACGTTTTTATTTCACATTGGCTACAAGGAATTTGAACTGCCCGCTCACAAGAAACTCAAAGCTCTACGCGAGTCAAATCGCGCAATACAACGGTTTCAGGAAGCCTCTCAATCGAGCAATGTTCATTTTCCACCATGTGTTGTTTAAACTATAAGCTATTTGCTACAGCTGAGCCAAAGCGTCAAGATTGAGGTTGCCAGATTTTTACATCGCAGAGACTGTCATGATAACGTTCAGCGCGCGATGTGAATCACGTAGAGCATTGAGTTTTAATGAGCGGGTGGTTTGAATTCACGCATCAAGAATCATCAAATATCTTAGTAAGGAGTTAATTTCGGTAATTTTCTATGTGCGCATCGTGTTTTACGTGAAATTTTAGTCACGAAATATGTATCAGAATGCTGAAATTCGTACCTTGTCTAGTGGTCCATTGTAAAATTCGGTCCATTTATCGATCAAGGTTAACAATAATGATGCAAAAAACGACCCGCTAGGCGGTTTAGATCTACACTGCCGTGCTCAGGGAAAATGCCGTATAAGCACTCGAGCGTTGCCAAATATCCTCTCAAGAAATATTTATTTATAAGGAAAGTTATTAATATTTGGAACGCATTAAACAATTTTTTACATGAAAACGGTTGTGCGGATTTTCGTGCAAATTTCAGTGAAAATTCTCCATGGTACGAAGCAAATTTCTTAAAATTTTCAAAGAAATCCGAACAAACGTTCCCTCGTAAAAAATTTAATTGCCCAGTTAAACTTGGCAATGGCTATTGTGGCTTGGTTCCTTCCTGTTAAACTCGGTCCATATCTCCTTGAAATTTTCAGACTTCAGATCAAAATGTGAACAAAACTCTGAAAAATCTGAAGAGAAATATTAACGAATCTTCCCGCAAATACATAATTTGTGGAAGGATATCGGCGGTGAAACTACCAAACCACGTATCTCGGTTTGCGACGTCGCAGACTTCCTGTCATACTTTATTTTTTAAAGGAAAAACTACTTAACATCCAGTCTTGAAAATTTCTGTGATTTTTCCTCTTTGTGCGGAAAAAGTTCCGTGAAAATTTCAAGGAATGATATTGATTTGGTCTGCTTCAAAAAAATAAAATGTGAGCGTAGATTTTTAAACACCGCAAACGAGATACGTGGTTTGGTAGTTTCACCGTCGACATAGGATTAGGGATTGCCTTACCTATACGTGCTCCTCCCGTGGATGGTCGTGACCTGGCACGTCGAAGTCTTCTCAACCCATTTCTCCTATTAAATGTCAAACTTTATTAACTTTTTACAATCTTATATTAAGGAAGAGAGGAAAACCACAACGATAAGTCAGTTGCGCTGGTCAGAGAATGGTGTTCTGATGCCTGATTCTTGTAGATCAGCTAAAAATAATAATATCTGACCAAACAGCAACATTCTACGTTCAATATTAACCGATACATCGCCCTTTGAATGAGTTATTAGTTTTTTTTTTTTTTTTTTTTNTTTTTTTTTTTTTTTTTTTTTTTTTTTTTTTTTTTTTTTTTTTTTTTTTTTTTATTAAGGTTTATTGTATAGAATACAAACAATGTCACTACTACCTAAAAGCAATTACATAAGGTACCTATTGACATGAATTAAATTGAACAAATAAATGAAATAACTAAACTAGGAGCGTATGATAGGTGGGAACCTATCATGAAGGTCTGGGGCATGTAATGCCCCAGCCGTTGTGATAAAGTCGGGTGTAAAAAATTCCTCGTGAGAAAGCACGTGGGGGAGGGGAGGGGGACGGTGGGGCCCCCCGCCACCCGGAAGTTATTAGTTAAGAAGAACTTTGAGTTTCTCGCTGACCGGTGACCGCACTGTGTTTGGTGCAATGCGTGAAGTGTTCTCGCAATCTTGTAGGTGCTAATATGTGTGTAGCGACGATCGGTGACCGCGCGTATTTGGCGCAATGCGTGAAGCATTCTTGCAGTCTTGTAGGCGCTATGCGTTTCACGCTGACCGCACCGTATTTGACGCAATGCGTGAAGTATTCTCGCAGTCTTGTAGGCGCTAATATGTGTGTAGCGACGATCAGCGACCGCGCTGTATTTGGCGCAATGCGTGAAGCATTCTTGCAGTCTTGTAGGCGCTAATATGCGTTTTGCGCCAACCGGCGATCGCGCTGTTTGAAGGGGTTAAGAGGCTAGATTTTTGGAGGTCAAATTGGACAGTTTTTTAGAGTGGCTCTTCTTTCGCTTTGAAAAATTCGGTTTGTGGCGTCATCCACCGCGGGAGTGACACCCTTGGTTTCTTCCACCTTGCTTTCATCCAAGTTTCACTTTGAATGACTAATTCAAACGTGTGTCTCCCTAACCGATGAAACTGAGGTGGAAGAAACCGAGGGTGCCATTACCGCGGTGGATGACGTCAAAAACCCGAATTTTCAAAGGGCGATAACTAGGTTAATATTGAACGTGGAAAGTTGCTGTTTGGACAGATCTTATTATATGTAGATAATCTATGAGAATCAAGCATCAAAACGCGATATTGTGACCTGTGCAACTGATCCATCCGAGTACCGTCGATTTGACATTCGGTCGAAATTAATTGATAGATGCGCAGCACACACTGAGTATCTTAGTGGGAACAGCTAAATTCTGATAAAAGAATAGGCCGTGACCGTTAATAATTTCCTTACGGAGATTTCTACTTCAAGTTTTGCTTTTACAGTAACTGGAATACCTGTTGAGTACCTATCTAGACAGTTGAGGAAGCGTTTTGGTAATAGCGTTTCCGTTTCCTGTCAGCAGGATCTCCTGTGTCCATGACCCGGCGTTGAGATGACCTTCATATACTGTTGACGCCTGACTTCCTTCTGATGCAAGTTAGGTAAATATTAGAGTGATGACAATCTTTCTACTTGGCGCTTCATGAAAGCTAATTGGATTCTTAATTTTCAACCTCTTAAAATTTCTCAGTCGACTTGTAGACTGAATAGATGCATTATTTCAAACCCCAGTCAACCGTGTATTACCGCGCAGATTATTGCGTGCGATAATTTTTGAATAAAACGTGTCGACACATGAGAAACGCCTTCATTGAGAAAGGATACTTCCTAGCGTGACTTCAGAGGCCAAATAGTTGCATCTATTAAAAACCCATCCAACATTGTAGCAGCAGCGAAGATTATCGGTGATGCGGTTGCTGGAGATAATTATTTGATGAAGAGTGTCGACACATGAAAAACGCCTTCATTGAGAAAAGATACTTCCTAGCGTGACTTCAGAGGCCGAATAGTTGCATCGTTTAAAAAACCCGATCAATCGTGTCGTAGATCAGCGATAGTGCGATTGCTAGTTATGAGTGTTTAACAAGGCGGGTCGACGCATGAAAAACGCCCTCATTGAGAAAAGATACTTCCTAGCGTGACTTCAGAGGCCGAATAGTTGCATCTATTAAAAACCCATCCAACATTGTAGCAGCGAAGATTATCGGTGATGCGGTTGCTGGAGATAATTATTTGATGAGGAGTGTCGACACATGAGAAACGCCTTCATTGAGAAAAAATACTTCCTAGCGTGACTGCAGAGGCCGAATAGTTGCACCATTTAAAAAACCCGATCCGTGTCGCAGCGTAGATTGGCGATAATGCGATTGCTAGAGATAAGTCTTTAATAAAGCTGATCGATGCACGAGAAGCGCCTTCATTGAGAAAAGAGACTTCCTAGCGTGGCCTCAGAGGCTGAATAGTTGCAAGTTGCATCTATTAAAAACCCAGTCAACGGTGTATCAGCGGAGACTAGTGAGAAATGAGGATACTTCTAGGCAAATATGTGTTTCATAAACTTGGTTTTTTTTTTTTTTTTTTTTTTTAATAAAATAAAAATATAAGTCAGATGTGTAGAAACCCAAAAGTATTTTTAGGTCCGATATTCAGATTAGTGTCACTGGACAAAATCTTCATCTCATAAACATTGAACGGTGTCTGCTGTTCCTGTTCCATCCTAATAATATGAACAAAATTGGACGTATTTCTGCCAAACGGAACTGTGTGCATTAAGACATGAGCCCTGAGACCCTTAAGAATATATGCATAACAGGGTTCACGTCATAATTCACATAGTTCCGTCTGACAGAAATACGTCCGATTGGTCCAGCTTGATCGCTTGGATATCCGCCGCCTATCTAACGAGTGGAGATGACAGCTCATCATGAGCCAGTGGGATATTTCCTCGGAATTAATATTCCTCTGATACAAAAATCAATTAAATGGAAAATTTTCCGAATGAAATGTCTGCAATATGTTTCCATAGTTTGCGTTCGTCTGGATCTAGCGATGATAGCGTAGCACGGGCACTTGCTTGGCCTTAATTCGACTACATTTTGCAATTAAAAACTATAAATTCCGGCCCGGTTTAAAAACAACGTATGTGCCATCAGCTTCTCTAAGCACATAAGTGTCTTTTCAGCTAGATGAGCCAGAATTTATAGCTCCAAATTGCAAAATGCGATCCAATTCGTCGATCCCCGCATGAAGGAACGTAACTCAATTCCAACGTTGCAAAATTGACTCAAATAATCCAATTTTTTACGAGAGTGTACCTTTGAGACTTTTGTCAAAAATTTGTCTGCTTTTTGCATGAGATCATGAGAAAAATCAGTGATATTTTCAATTAAAAATATTCAAGTCTCGCCAAGTTAAAAATGCAATTTTAGAGGAAAAATCTGGCAACGTTGAAATGTACTTACGCGCCTTCGTCCGGGAGACGACGAATTATTTACACACTTATTCCGAATTAAAAAGCATGACGTCGAGAATTGAATTTCGCTTTTTTGAGCAATGACCTTCTCCGAGATTGATCGTCCTCACGCAAATACGATAGTTTTTTCAACTACGTTTTTACGCAGATCTCTTGTGTCAGTCAAACCAATGATTTCAATCAAGTTTAAATTTGACGCACTTATAAACTGAACCTGAGAGTGTAAAGGGTTTAACTGATAATTAATTTTTTCTCTGACGTCTTGCGGAGTGATTAACGCTTTTGACCTTTTTAGGTGCAAATAATTAAGTAGTTGGCAAACACGCTTACTCGTCCAAATTTCAGCGCACTCTGAATTATTAGAATCGTCCAACATAGATGTATGACATACATGAGAGATAAATATTCGAAGCCTTAAGTCTTAGTTCAAATTTTAATTTCTAATTTTTTGTTTCCTGGTTAACAAGAGAGTTTAAACCACACTAAAACGTCGGCGTAATCACTTACTAAAGCTGGTTTTAGCAAATTAGATGGTTATTGCTAGATCCATTACTCAACTTTTTGGTCATTTTATCATCATTATGTGGAATCTGAGCGTTAACTTCCAGGGGTAACGTTTGTGTACTATGCAGAAGACAGCGCAGCGCGGGCCTTAAAAATTTACTATCTCTGCTGGTCACCCTTCGCAGCAAAAAGGACTACATTTTGCAATTCGGAATTACACTTTCTGGCTCAGTTTAGGAACAACGTAAGCACAGTTAGTTTCCCTATGCACCCGAGTTTTTTTCACTGATGAGCCAGAAATCGTAGTTCCTAATGGGTCAGTTGCGCTGGTCACAGAATTGTATTCCGATGTTTGATTCTCGTAGATTAACTAAAAATAATAAGATCCGTCCAAACAGCAACTTTCTAAGTTCAATATTAACCGAGATGTCCCCTTTTGAAAAGTCGGATTTTTGACGTCATCCACAGCAATAGAGACACCCTAGGTTTCTTCCACCTTGCTTTCATCCGAGTTTTACGTCGAGTAACCAGCGCAAATGTGCATGTGAACTTTTCAAAGGGCGATATCTCGGTTAATATTGAGCTTACAAAGTTGCTGTTTGGAGGATATTATTATTTTCCGCTGATCTAAGAGAACCAAGCATTAAAACACGATTCTGTGACCAGCGCAATCGACCCATTCCACAATGAAATCCAATGGACCACTAGACAAGGCACGAATTTAAGCATTCTGATACATGGTTCTCAACTAGAATTTCACGTAGAACATAATGCGCACAACGAAAATTAATTAAGCCAACTCCTAACGAAGATGTGAACGTTTTTATTTCACATTGGTTACGAGAAATTTGAACTGCCCTCTCACGAGAAACTCAAAGCTCCATATGAGTCAAATCGCGCACTACAACGGTTTCAGCAAGCTCCTCAATCGAGCATTATTTATTTCCCACCATGTGTTGTTCAAACTATAAGCAATTTGCTATAGCTGAGCCAAAGCGTCAAAACTGAGGTTGCCAGATTTTTGTATCGCAGAGACTGTCATGATAACGTTTAGCGCGCGATGTGAATCACGTAGAGCATTGAGTTTTCATGAGCTGGTGGTTTGAATTCACGCATCAAGAATCATTAAATATCTACGTAAGAAGTTAATTTTGGTAATTTTCGTTTTGCGCATCGTGTTTCACG